TAGCCCTCTGCCTGCCTACTAGCCTCTGGACCCTCAAGTTTCCCCCCTGCTGATCAGTTCCACTTCTAAGCAGGTATTCCCCCCATCATCTGATAAACAGCAGTTTACCTCGAACTCCTCCAACCTCTCTGTCCTCCTCAGTGGAGATCCAGCCGTGACCAGTCTGACCACCCAAGTTCCTGTTCACATTTTATTTACACCTTTTTTCAATAAAACTTTTGAACTTTCTTCTAACCTCTGTGTGTTTCTGCATATGGGTTAGACATCTAATCCCGTCATGACAGAAAGTAGATAGCTCCAAGTTTAACTTCTTCCCGCCAGTAAGTGATGTCATTGCATTTGGACGCTCTCATTCTGTAACGTTATATTAAAAAATTAATAAAACATGTTTATGCGTTTACTGATATGCTCATGATGTTTTATTGCTTAAATATGAACAAAAAGTCACTTAAAATTTGTTAATTTGTGTCTGCTAACCACTAGCTCCAATGTCTTAAAAAGCCAAATGTACAGTATTAAACGAAGCTAAAACTTCTCAAAGAAGGTAAATATTCAACTAATTAGGCATCATTTGAAAAAATACATATTTTTACCAAATATTGTTATATTTGGGTTGTGCTTTAAACTCCATTAAAAGCTCATATGATAAAACTATTTCTGTCATGATCTGGTTTTCGTTTTGGGTTCTCAGTTGTGCTTTGTTTTGTTTTTCTGTTTTGTCAAGAATTATATATTTTTTGCTAATATTTTTTTTACATTATTTATTCCTTTGTCTAGTTTTAGTTAGTTAGTCCTTCTCTTATTCTTCCATGGCTTCAGTTATTTTCCGTTCCTTTCTAATCTTCTAGTTTTCCCCATGGTTAGTCATTAGTTTTATTCTCCTTTACTCTTATTCAACGTCCTTTCTAGTTACACTGAAGCCCTGTTTTCCCTGGTTGCTCTTTTTTGCCCTAAGGTTTTGTGCATTCTGTAGTTGGATTTTGTTTGTGTTTCCCTCTTTGATTAAATCTGCACGAGCTCATCTCTACCTCCACTTCTCTGCATGTGGGTCCTTTTTCAACTTCCACCAAACCTTGACAATTGTATTGTCTTATTTCCAGTGCATATCATCTAATTATCTTATCTTAAGAGTAAAAATATTAATTTCATTGGCAAATCATCTTATTTTCCTTCCCAGATTTAGGTAACTACACTTGATTTAAGAAATGTTGACTAATTTATTGATCGTTTTGCATTGCGAATTCTTGAAGGTAAACTTTGGTTCTCAATCATCCATGCCCAACTGTGATTATTGCATGATTTTAGTTTAGCAGCTAATTAGTTTAGTTGAGTTTCAATAGTTAGTCTAGAGCTTTTAACTAAGATTTGTTTTACCCAGAGTTAAATTTTTTCCTTTTTTTCATCCATTTTGTCCTACTTATAAGGTCAGGGTTGCAGTGATGGTGGTGCCTATCTCCAGCGCTGTCTGCGCGTCCACCCTGGACAGGTTACCAGTCCATCACAGGGCAACACAGAGACAAACAACCATTCACGCACACACTCACATCTAAGGTTAATGTAGAGAAGCCAGTTAACCTAAATAACAGTCATGTTTTTGGACTGTGGATGGATGCCGGAGTACCCGGGGAGAACCCACACATGCTCAGGGAGAACATGCAAACTCCATGCAGAAAGACCCCAGGCCGGGAATCAGAGTTGCCAACCATCCCTTTAAAAAAATGCAATCGTTCTGTATTTAAAAATAGAAGTACCTGTTCTGTATTTAGGGGAAAAGTAACGCATTTTTTCCTGTATTACTGTGAGAGTAAAAATATTATCAATAAAAAGCTACTGGAAAATGATACAAAACTTACGGTAAACTTGTTCCCGGGCTACTTAGAGATACTTATTTTACTCAGCAAAGTTTGTTATTTTGTATTAAAGTGAATTGCTGGATAATAATTTGTTTTCCATGTGTTCATGGACCTCATAAATATGCTAATTAAAGACAGATTTGAGTCAAATATTTAAAAAAAGAATTTTATACACAAAGGGGGGGCTAAAAAAAAATCACCACGCCAGGAAGGGTGAAGGCAATCAGGTCAGCAGGCACGCACATGAGGGGTTCCTTTTTTTTTTATTGAGGAAGCTGGCAACCCTACCGGGAATCGAACCTGGAACCTTCTTGCTGCAAGGCAAAATTGTTTTGTCCAAAGTTGAATCATTTTGGTAGGAAGTTCTTTTGAATTCAAGTTGTTGTAAATGCATTCTCTTTCTGCTGAGAATAAACATGGTTTGAGTGTGAATCACACTTTCATCTGTTACTCTAACACGGCCAGTTAGGCGTGTATTAATTTAACAACACCCTACAGTCCTAAAATCATTGGATTAAACACTAAATACCTTAAAGCCACAACAGTACCTAATTGCATAACATCGTTTTGATTAAAAAGTTATAGCTACATGACCTATAAATTACCAGAAAATCTTTAGAACAAAAGATTGAATTCTTTTCATCTTTAAACAAACTGGAGCAGTCTTTGCTTTGCACTAAAGACACTGATAAATAGAGTGACAGAAAACGTTTATCAACGATGGAATCCTGCATTTAAGCATGAAAATATAAATTATTCAAATAACTGTGTAATATTTATTCATAAAGTAAATATTTGTCAATATTTGTATCATAAGGTTGTTAAAAGTATCTCAAATATCCATGTGGGTTTTTTATCCAGACCAGGTTGCAGCTGTTTGTGTTTTGTGTTTGATTACCTGTGTTAAATTTATAAACATTTTCATTGTAGCAAAAAAAATAAAATTTAGAAGTGTTAAAGATAAGCTCTCTGTGTGTTTACATCTTGAAGCTTTCTCTCTCCGGTTCTTTTCCCTGAAAAGAGATCAGTCTGGAAACTCTATTTAAATAACACTTAATAACTTATATGTATTAAATAACCAGGAGACGTGACAACAGATTCTGATAGAAATTGTAATCTTTTTTATAATCTATAATCTAATTTTTTTTTTTTTTTACTTTCAGTATGTCCAAAGTGTAAATGAACAAATTATTTTTATATAATATTATTTCTTGTTTGTCTAATGCTTTTTTGTTGTTGTCTTTTTTTTGTGTGTGACAAATGCTGAAGGATTCACTAAAGGACATTAATCATCGTCATGTTTTTGTTGTATACCTGTAAAAAATCAATTAAAATAAAGTGAAAAAAATCCCAAGTTACCTTATAAAAAAAAAGAAAAAAAAGAAATTGTAATCTTCCTCAGATCAGAGATGTTGCTTAGAGCTACAGAAGGCAGCTGCTCGACTCTGGGCTCACCTTTCAGGAAGTGGTCCCAATTAGCAGTTAAAAAGGCATTTTATACGTCTCCAGTCTGCCACATCATCACATTTTACATCATACACATTAGCAGATGAGTAAACATCCATGGCTCCAGCCCTATCAAAATATTACACTTTGCTCTTAGCTGAAGGACATCGCTCTCATTCCATTCCCAAATCTTTTCCTCGAACAGAATGATTATAACTGTATATCCTGTCAGAGGAACTGTCTTAATTAGATAAACTATGGTGGAAAACATCAGTTCTGACACGCAACAGGCAGCTAATATTGAAGTGTAATAAACTCACACATCATCAGTGATAATTATCCTAACAGAAGAACAGATTTAAAAAAAAAACAGCACTGACCACTCAAAGTCAGCCTCTGTGCAGTCACAGGGAGCCGAGGTCATCGTCACGGAGAAGGTCTTTCCCATGACGCACCTGGAGGTGGGCTTCAGCTTCCTATAGATTCTTTTCACCCCCATGAGGCACGGCTCACCCTGCAGAGTAGATCACAACCTACAGATTAGGGGAAAGCCTCACAAAAGTAAGAGGACAAATTTCTAAACTTAATCCAAAATATTTTCTATAATCCAAGCAGAAATGCATCGAGTTTCCCTGTAGATGTGTCCCTGATGAGCTCCTGAGGTTATTTGTTAGAAGTTTAGATGTATAACATTAGAAACAGCTAAGAAACTTTAATTTTCTCAATTTTAGATTACCCTCTGTGCTAAGGGGAGAATCAGCAGAAGGATAAAACAGACTGGAGCGTCTGTTTCCCCAGACATTCTTCCTACATGCAGTAGGTGTCAGTAGTGAAATGCCAAAGAAACCTGAATGGATCCACAATTAGTTCCCAGCTTCTGAAAACCCAAAGCTGAAACTTTCCTACTTCCCCTCTTCTGCTCCAGCATGTTTGTTTCCTCTGCAGAGAACTTGACTGCTCCTTTCAGCCAGTCGGGCTCTGTAATTGGCTCGGACTCTTGTCATCTTCCATGCTTGGTGGTTTGATCATTAGCCCGCTCTGAGCATATGGGTGTCTGAGCCATTTACAGGACGCGGCCGTGAATAAAGGCTCGCTCTCAGTCTCTGGCTCAGTTTCAGGTTGATGGGCAGGTTTACTGAAAGCACGTGGGGTTGAAGGCTGGGTGTTTGGAGGGCTTTGGTAGAGAAGCAGACATCTTTAAACACTTACGCTTGATAAAAGCTCATTTAGAAGAAACTTTAATCCTCTTTACGTCTCATGGTAATTCAAAGGGATAAAGATGCATTAATAAGCTTAAAGTTATGACAGTAAATATTTAATCTGCACCTGTGTTTGCTCATTATAACCGACCAGAGACCTGTATTCATTCTCTGCCAGGCTATTTTCAGTAAAGTTTCAGTAAAGTAAAAGTTTGGATAAATTCAGTTGCAAAGGTAGTTTTTAGTAAAGCTCAGCTCGTATATCTGATTAACAAAACTAGCAAAGAAAAAACTAACTTCTGTTACTGACATAAGAACAGCAAGCAGTAGACTTGAACTGATAGGAAGGCTTATTTTAAGTTTGCAGCATCTCGTCAGCGGCACGCTGCTCTAGGAAAATCTGTTAGAAGTGGAAGAATTGTTAAAATCCGACTGTTTTCAAGCTGATGCATGGTGATTCTTTGAGTGATTTGATAAACTGATAAGCATTTCAAGTATAGCTGGCGCAGTGGTTAGCGCGTATGACCCATATAAGGAGGCCTTAGTCCCCGACATGGCTGACCCGTGTTCGAATCCATCCAGTGCTTTGCCGCATGTCTCTCCGCCTCTCTCATACCCTGTTCCGTCAGCTTACTGTCAAAAAATCGAGCCACTAGTGCTGTAAAAACTCACAAAAAAAAATGTTGACTGATACACAAATCATTGCTGTTCAGCTGCTCCAAAAATTAATATACAACCGTAAAGTGTTTTTATCTTTTGCCGATCCAAAATGTGAAATGATTTGTCTTTGTGCATTAGTTAGGCCTCCTCTGGTCTTTAAGGGATCCTCCATTAGTAGTAACAACAAACTTTATATTCAATCTAAATACAATAAAGTAAAATAAACACCTTTGTTTTTAAACATCACCATGTTGTTTACACAGCAATGCATTCTGGTTTAATGACATATGCTAAGTGCTGTAGCATTAGCTCTATTCAGCCAAAAAACGCAGGTAAAAAAATGGTGACCTTTAAGGGTGAAAAATATAACAAAGATATACAGATAGGGCTGGGCGATATAGAAAAAAAGCTTATCGATAAAAAAAAATGCATATTGATCGATATCGATAATTATTGAAAAGATATGAAACCATATTTTATGTGCAGCTCTCCCTGGACTTTTTATAATATTGCTAAATGATTTAATTTTAATAAAGAACACAAACACAGAGCTTGAATTAAATCTTTATTTTTTAACCATTTAACCGACTCTCTTTTTTTCTATTGCGCCACACGTCTATCGATCGATATATATCGTTATTGAATTATCGCCCAGCCCTATATACATATAGATATATATATATCCATCCATCCATCCATTATCTGACACGCTTGTCCCGAATGGGGTCGCGAGGGGTGCTGGTGCCTATCTCCAGCAGTCAATGGGCGAGAGGCGGGGTACACCCTGGACAGGTGCCTGGTGATATATACATATTTATGTTTTTATGTATTACAAAGGGCAATTTTTTAGGTTAATAGGAAAATTACTATGGTACAAATTCAGGCCAACATGTTTAACTAGTCATGGAGCAGGTGGACTCATGTTTCAGCTTTCAAAAACCTACAATACAGCAATTGAGTTGATTTCTGCATCATCTGCATCATTGCAACACCCTCCAGGGGGAGGGCAGAAGACCTCGCCTGTTCAGCCCGGCCAACAATTCCCTTTAACGACCCCCCTTTCACAGACATAGGCAGGTATCAGGTATTAAAGGCTAACAAAGAAACAAAATGACCCCCATTCCTAAGGGGTGGAGCCATTCATTGGGTTCAATTTGCATCTTTTCTAAACATGGGCTACTGTATAATGCCTCGACTTCAACGCAATTCCTGACATTTTGAATTGAAAAAGCTTCCTGGATGGGAAGCAAAATGTCTTCAAACTTGGGAACCAAGTCCGGTGGATTATTTTCTTTTTACTTTTTTGGAATGACTGTGACCTGGATGACTGAGAATATTCACCAAAATCTAGCTGACAAAACACATCTGTTCTCCTTCTGATTGGTTTAATTCCCATTTCTTTACATTAAATATTTTTTCACCATTTTATACCATTTTTATGTAAATTCTTCTGTCAATCCTCTCTGATATAACTGTTGGGAACTGTGTTTTGCCTTTCAAAAGTGCATGTCCTGATGTGATTTTATTTGTAGTTTTTTATTAGGGCTGTCAAAATTAATGCGTTAACGCAAGATGATTGATTTCTGGAATTAGCGCGATTTTTTTTTTAACGCATTAACACAGTCCTGCCCTGTTTAACCAACAATTCAATTGTCCGACATGAGCGAGATGGAGGATTTAGAAGAACCCGTTGGACCGCTGGATGGACAGTTCGAGTATAAAAAAAACTTAGACGGGACAATAAATAAACATGTTGTGGTTTGCTCACACTGCAAGAAGGACTTTTCGTTTCACCGAAGCGCCTCGAGCCTTAAATGTCATCTTAATGCAAAGAGTTCATTTGTTGGGGCTTCAAAATCAGGCGTTACGACTGGCATGAGTCAG